AAAAACAATTCCTAAAAATTAAAAAAAAGACACAAGGCATGGGGAAGGATGGCAAGTTTAAATCCACCCAGGCACTAACCCTATCTCAAATGAAAAAAAAAAAAATTTTTGAGAAAAGGCTGGAGGGCCGGGGATTTAGCTCAGTGGTTTCGCCGCCTGCTGAGCAAGCTCAAGGACCCAAGTTCCATCCCCCGTACCAAAAAAAACCCCCCAAAAACAAAAGCCTGGAGATGTACCTCAATGCAAAGATCCTGAATTCAATCCCTAGTACAAAAAAAAAAAAAAATCACATGCCAAGTGAAAACTGCATGAGATGCCCCCTGCCCCCATCAGTTTAGCTGAAAGGCAATTTCAGGCTGTTCTGCATTGATAAGGCTGTGTAGAAAGAGACACTCTTTCCTTTGCTGATGGGGAGCCACACTGGTACAACTCCATAAAGTAAAAGCAAAACAGGCTATTCCGGCTGGGCCCTAGTACTCACTTATAATCCCAGCTATGTAGGAGGCTGGGCAGGAGGACTGTCAAATTCAAGGCCAGCCTGGGCAACTTATTGAGATCTTATCTCAAAGAAAAAGAAAAAAGGATGTAGTTCTGCAGTAGAGTGCCTCTGGGTTCTATCCTCAATATATATACATATTTCAAAAAATGTATGAGCCGGGTGTGGTAGCATACACTTGTAATCCTGAACTTAGGAGGCTGAGGCAGGAGGATCGTCATGAGCTTGAGGCCAGCCTGTACTACACAGTGAGTTCAAAGCCAGTCTGAACTATATAGCAAGACTCTGTCTCAAAAAACCAAAACTGAATACATAAGTATAAATAAAGCAAAAAAAAAAAAAAAGGAATAATGAAGCAATATATCAACCTAACTCAGTCATCCCAATCCCGAGGCTATCCCTGTCTCTCACTCCCCTCCACCCACTTCAGCTGGGATACCACCTTAGGACACCCCTTATAACCCCAGACCAAAGCACATGCAAGCCCTTTTTTCCTCTCTCATGCTTCAGCCCAAGAGCTTGATTTATCTGCATGGAACACAGTGTTCCTTTTCTGTCATACACTTCTCCATTGTGACCTTCAATAAACGTAGCTGCTGTTTCCTTCCCCACCATTGAGTGTGCAATTGCAATTCACTGCTCGCCCCTGTACACAAGACCTCAGAATCCACCACGCAGCAATGAAGGGGCTGGGCTGGACCCCAGGATCTCAAGCACAGGGATAGGGGACCTCAGGAGGTCCTGAAAGCACTGGGGGAACAGAGCAGGCACAAGGGCCCAAACTTGGACTTTTGGAAATGGGGGGAAGGCAGTCCTAGAGTTACAGGGTAGGTCCTTCTAAAAGTGGCTCGCCAATTAAATGTTACTGGGTTCTGGGTTGCTCACCTTTCCCTCTGGAGTTAGATTTCAGGTTCTTCGAACAAAGAATTTGACAAAACCAGCAAAAAGCAGTGGCAAAGTCTATTTGAAAAAGTAAAAGTGAAGAGTGAGGGAGAAGCTGGCTCTGCAGAGTGAGCTTGGACTTTAAAAGAGGAAAAAATCAGTGGTACAGTGCCTGCCTGGCAAGTGCAAGGTCCTGAGTTCAAATCCCGATACTGGAAAAAAATAAAAGAGGAAAAGGCAAGATAAAAGTACATCCTGGAGGAAGCAGGGCAAGCTATTGTGAGGAAAGCCACAAAAGCAAACTCTTCTTGGGATTTATTTCCCTTTATACTGTCCAACTCTCCATGTGCTACCGTATTACTGGGTTTGGGGTCCTGGAGTCTCCTTCTAGAGACTAGGTTCTAGGTTATTTCTGTCCTGAACAAAAAATTGGTTAAGACAAGAACAAAAGGTAGCAAGGTTTTCTTTTCTTTTCTTTTTTTTTTTTTTGAGATAGAGCCTTGCTATGTAGTTCAGGCTGGCCTTGAATTCACTATGTAGCCCAGGTTGGCTTCGTACTTGGGGCAATCTTTCTCACCTGGCTAGTTTCTGTTATATGAGAAGCGCAAAGTACAAATAAAGAACAAAATAAAGGCTGGATAATAGGAAACAGGGAGAATATAAATATTCTAGTTACTAAGCTTTGTTACCTTTGTGACATAAACTAACTTTATATGTTTATATTATCTAGATCCAGTCACTATAAAAGGTCTTCAGGTTGCTGGACGTGGTAGCACGTGCTTGTAATCCCAACACTCCAGAGGATGAGGCAGAAAGATCACCAGGAGTTTGAGGCCAGTTTGGGTTACACAGTGAATTCAAAGCCAGCCTGAACTACATAGTGAAACCCTGTCTCAAAAAACAAAGCAAAGGGGCCAGGGATTTAGCTCAGTGGTTTCGACGCCTGCTGCGCAAGCGCAAGGACCCAAGTTTGATCCCCGGTACCAAAAAAACTCCCAAAAAACAAAGCAAAACAAAACAAAATCTTAGATCACCCACTTGGAAAAGACAAATTGGTGGGGTCATGCCTTTCACCTGTAAAATGGGCCATTACTTTTCTGCTGGTGGGCTTCCTTTTCCTATAAACCAAGACCAAGAAGGAACTTCCTGTGGAGTCTCAAATTCCACAGATTTCCACTGCCAAAGACACGTAGATATCCCTTGCTCCAAAATGTAGCACATCTCTCTCTCTTTGAGGACCTCCTCTCTATTTCTTTGAGTGTGTACTTTTAAATTTCTGCCTAGTCCCCTTATGGCAGAAAGAAAGAGAAAAGAAAGAAAGCAAGGAAGGAAGGAAGGAAGGAAGGGAAAGAAAGAAAGAAAGAAAGAGAAAGAGAGGGAGAAAGAAAGAAAGAGAGAGAGGGAGAAAGAAAGAAAGAAAGAGAAAGAGGGAGAAAGAAAGAAAGAGAGAGAGGGAGAAAGAAAGAAAGAGAGAGGGA